GTATTACTTACCCATGCGGTTGGTACTAACAGTGAGTGTGTTTCTTACCCATATGGTTGGTACGAAAAGTCAGTGCGTTATTTACCCATATATTTGGTACCAAGAGTAAGTGCGTTACTTACCCATATGGTTGGTACGATGAGTAAATGCTTTACTTACCCATATGGTTGTTACGAAGCGTAAGTGTGTTACTTACTTTTATGGTAGGTACGAAGAGTAAGTGCGTTACTTACCCATATGGTTGGTACTAACAGTAAGTGAATTACTTACCCATATGGTTGGTACGAAGAGTAAGTGCGTTACTTACCCAAATGGTTGGTACGAAGAATAAGTGCGTTACCTACCCATATGGTTGGTACGAAGAGTAAATGCGTTACTTACCTATATGGTTGGTGCTAATGGTAAGTGTATTACTTACCCATATAGATGGTACTAAGAGTAAGAGCCCTACTTACTTATATGGTTGGTACGAAGAGTAAGTGCGTTACTTACCCATATGGTTGGTACGAAGACTAAGTGAGTTATTTACACATATGGTTGGCACTGACAGTTAGTGCGTTAATTGGTACGAAGAGTAAGTGCGTTACTTACCCATATGGTTGGTACTAAGAGTAAGTGTACCCATGCGGTTGGAACTAACAGTAAGTGCGTTTCTTACCCATATGGTCGATACTAAGAATTAATGCGTTACTTACCCATAAGATTGGTACTAACAGTTAGTGTGTTACTTACCCATATGGTTGGTACGAAGAGTATGTGCGTTACCTACCCATATAGTTGGTTCTAAAGTAAGTGCGTTACTTATTCATATGGTTGGTACGAATAGTAAGTGTGTTACTTACACACATAGTTGGTACGAAGAGTAAGTGCGTTACTTACCCATATGGGTGGTACGAAGAGTAAGTGCGTTACTTACCCATATGGTTGTTACGAAGAGTAAGTGCGTTACTCACCCATATGGTTGGTACAAACAGTAAATGTATTACTTACCCATGTAGTTGGTACTAAGAGTAGGTGCGCTACTTACCCATATGGTTGGTACGAAGAGTAAGTGCGTTACTTACCCATATGGTGGTACTAAGAGTAAGTGTATTACTTACCCATGCGGTTGGTACTAACAGTGAGTGTGTTTCTTACCCATATGGTTGGTACGAAAAATCAGTGCGTTATTTACCCATATATTTGGTACCAAGAGTAAGTGCGTTACTTACCCATATGGTTGGTACGATGAGTAAATGCTTTACTTACCCATATGGTTGTTACGAAGCGTAAGTGTGTTACTTACTTTTATGGTAGGTACGAAGAGTAAGTGCGTTACTTACCCATATGGTTGGTACTAACAGTAAGTGAATTACTTACCCATATGGTTGGTACGAAGAGTAAGTGCGTTACTTACCCAAATGGTTGGTACGAAGAATAAGTGCGTTACCTACCCATATGGTTGGTACGAAGAGTAAATGCGTTACTTACCTATATGGTTGGTGCTAATGGTAAGTGTATTACTTACCCATATAGATGGTACTAAGAGTAAGAGCCCTACTTACTTATATGGTTGGTACGAAGAGTAAGTGCGTTACTTACCCATATGGTGGTACTAAGAATAAGTGTATTACTTACCCATGCGGTTGGTACTAACAGTAAGTGTGTTTCTTACCCATATGGTTGGTACGAAAAGTAAGGGCGTTATTTACCCATATATTTGGTACCAAGAGTAAGTGCGTTACTCCCATATGGTTGGTACGATGAGTAAATGCTTTACTTACCCATATGGTTGTTACGAAGCGTAAGTGTGTTACTTACTTATATGGTAGGTACGAAGAGTAAGTGCGTTACTTACCCATATGGTTGGTACTAACAGTAAGTGCATTACTTACCCATATGGTTGGTACGAAGCGTAAGTGCGTTACTTACCCAAATGGTTGGTACGAAGAGTAAGTGTGTTACTTACCCATATGGTTGGTACGAAGAGTAAATGCGTTACTTACCTATTTGGTTGGTACTAATAGTAAGTGTATTACTTACCCATATAGATGGTACTAAGAGTAAGAGCCTTACTTACTTATGTGGTTGGTACGAAGAGTAAATGCGTTACTTACCCATATGGTGGTACTAAGAGTAAGTGTATTACTTACCCATGCGGTTGGTACTAACAGTGAGTGTGTTTCTTATCCATATAGTTGGTACGAAATGTAAGTGCGTTACTTACCTATATAGTTGGCACGAAGAGTAAATGCGTTACTTACCCATGTGGTTGTTACGAAGCGTAAGTGTGTTACTTACCCATATGGTTGGTACGAAGAGTAAGTGCGTTATTTACCCATATGGTTGGTACGAAGAGTAAGTGCGTTACTTACCCATATGGTTGGTACGAAGACTAAGTGCGTTATTTACCCATATGGTTGGTACTAACAGTTAGTGCGTTAATTGGTACGAAGAGTAAGTGCGTTTCTTACCCATATGGTTGGTACTAAGAGTAAGTGTATTACTTACCCATGCGGTTGCGATTAACAGTAAGTGCGTTTCTTACCCATAAGGTTGGTACTAACAGTTAGTGCGTTACTTACCCATATGGTTGATACGAAGAGTATGTGCGTTACCTACCCATATAGTTGGTACTAAAAGTAAGTGCGTTACTTATTCATATGGTTGGTACGAAGAGTAAGTGCGATACTTACACACATGGTTGGTACAAAGAGTAAGTGCGTTACTTGCCCATATGGATGGTACGAAGAGTAAGTGCGTTACTTACCCATAAGGTTGTTACGAAGAGTAAGTGCGCTACTCACCCATATGGTTGGTACAAACAGTAAGTGTGTTACTTACCCATGTGGTTGGTACGAAGAGTAAGTGCGTTACTTACTCATATGGTGGTACTAAGAATAAGTGTATTACTTACCCATGCGGTTGGTACTAACAGTGAGTGTGTTTCTTACCCATATGGTTGGTACGAAAAGTAAGGGCGTTATTTTCCCATATATCTGGTACCAAGAGTAAGTGCGTTACTCTCATATGGTTGGTACGATGAGTAAATGCTTTACTTACCCATATGGTTGTTACGAAGCGTAAGTGTGTTACTTACTTATATGGTAGGTACGAAGAGTAAGTGCGTTACTTACCCATATGGTTGGTACTAACAGTAAGTGCATTACTTACCCATATGGTTGGTACGAAGCGTAAGTGCGTTACTTACCCAAATGGTTGGTACGAAGAGTAAGTGCGTTACTTACCCATATGGTTGGTACGAAGAGTAAATGCGTTACTTACCTATATGGTTGGTACTAACAGTAAGTGTATTACTTACCCATATAGATGGTACTAAGAGTAAGAGCCTTACTTACTTATGTGGTTGGTACGAAGAGTAAGTGCGTTACTTACCCATATGGTGGTACTAAGAGTAAGTGTATTACTTACCCATGCGGTTGGTACTAACAGTGAGTGTGTTTCTTATCCATATAGTTGGTACGAAATGTGAGTGCGTTACTTACCCATATAGTTGGCACGAAGAGTAAATGCGTTACTTACCCATGTGGTTGTTACGAAGCGTAAGTGTGTTACTTACCCATATGGTTGGTACGAAGAGTAAGTGCGTTATTTACCCATATGGTTGGTACGAAGAGTAAATGCGTTACTTACCCATATGGTTGGTACGAAGACTAAGTGCGTTATTTACCCATATGGTTGGTACTAACAGTTAGTGCGTTAATTGGTACGAAGAGTAAGTGCGTTACTTACCCATATGGTTGGTACTAAGAGTAAGTGTATTACTTACCCATGCGGTTGCGACTAACAGTAAGTGCGTTTCTTACCCATAAGGTTGGTACTAACAGTTAGTGCGTTACTTACCCATATGGTTGATACGAAGAGTATGTGCGTTACCTACCCATATAGTTGGTACTAAAAGTAAGTGCGTTACTTATTCATATGGTTGGTACGAAGAGTAAGTGCGATACTTACACACATGGTTGGTACAAAGAGTAAGTGCGTTACTTGCCCATATGGATGGTACGAAGAGTAAGTGCGCTACTCACCCATATGGTTGTACAAACAGTAAGTGTGTTACTTACCCATGTAGTTGGTACGAAGAGTAAGTGCGTTATTCACCCATATGGTTGGTACTTGGTACAGTTAGTGCGTTAATTGGTACGAAGAATATGTGCGTTACTTACCCATATGGTTGGTACTAAGTGTATTTCTTACCCATGCGGTTGGTACTAACAGTAAGTGCGTTTCTTACCCATATGGTCGGTACTAAGAATTAGTGCGTTACTTACCCATAAGGTTGGTACTAACAGTTAGTGCGTTACTTACCCATATGGTTGGTACGAAGAGTATGTGTGTTACCTACCCATATAATTGGTACCAAAAGTAAGTGCGTTACTTATTCATATGGTTGGTACGAAGAGTAAGTGCGTTATTTACCCATATGGTTGGTACTTGGTACTGTTAGTGCGTTAATTGGTACGAAGAATATGTGCGTTACTTACCCATATGGTTGGTACTAAGTGTATTTCTTACCCATGCGGTTGGTACTAACAGTAAGTGCGTTTCTTACCCATATGGTCGGTACTAAGAATTAGTGCGTTACTTACCCATAAGGTTGGTACTAACAGTTAGTGCGTTACTTACCCATATGGTTGGTACGAAGAGTATGTGTGTTACCTACCCATATAATTGGTACCAAAAGTAAGTGCGTTACTTATTCATATGGTTGGTACGAAGAGTAAGTGCGATACTTATACACATGGTTGGCACGAAAAGTCAGTGCGTTACTTACCCATATGGGTGGTACGAAGAGTAAGTGCAGGGTTGATAATAAGGGTTGCTAAAAACAAAAAAATAGCCATGTGCTGGTACTGCATGCTCTTGCTTAAAATATTATACGGTAGTTCCAGCCTTTCAGAATGCAATCATCAAAGCAGAAGCATTGCATCGCATCATCTTAGTAACAGTGGACAGCGCTCACATCGTCATCATCAACATTGTTACGGGCAAGCAGGAGGTCAGCGGTAGAGGGACTGGGTCTGCATGTTGTTGGCAATCTCCGTCTCCCACCGGTCCCCATTCTCCAGCAGCTTCTCCTTGTCGTACAGCAGCTCCTGGGGGGGAGACAGGGTAACCAGTGAGACAAGGATGAACGGTCAGCAAGGGTGAACGGTGAGAAAGGGTGAACGGTGAGAAAGAAAGGATGAACGGTGATAAAGGGTGAATGGTGAGAAAGAAAGGGTGAACGGTGAGAAAGGGTGAACGGTGAGAAAGGGTGAACGGTGAGAAAGGGTGAACGGTGAGAAAGGGTGAACAGTGAGAAAGGTTGAACGGTGAGAAAGGGTGAACGGTGAGAAAGAAAGGATGAACGGTGATAAAGGGCGAACGGTGAGAAAGAAAGGGTGAACGGTGAGAAAGGGTGAACGGTGAGAAAGGGTGAACGGTAAGAAAGGGTGAACAGTAAGAAAGGGTGAACGGCAAGAAAGGGTGAACAGTAAGAAAGGGTGAACGGCAAGAAAGGGTGAACGGTAAGAAAGGGTGAACGGCAAGAAAGGGTGAACGGCAAGAAAGGGTGAACGGTAAGAAAGGGTGAAGAGGTGAGGCCCTTGTCCCACCAGTCACCATTCTCCAGCGGCTTCTCCTTGTCGTATAGCAGATGAGAAGAGGAGGTAAGGGTGGGGGGAGGGAGGGGTACGGAGAAGAGGGAAGAGACGCAGAAAGAGAGGAGGGAAGACAGTAGGGAAGGGGGGAGAGAAGGGAACAGGGAATGGGCAGGAAGAGAATATGAAGCAGGGAGCAGGGAGCAGGGAGCAGGGAGCAGGGAGCAGGGAGCAGGGAGAAGGGAGACTAAGGGGCCAAACTTTCATCAGTCTCTATAACCTCCTGTCACGATGGCAAAAATTAAGTTGGGTCCCTCCACAATAGCGTAAACGGGACATGCCTCCCCCACTCTCCCTTGCCCTCGCCCTCCCCGACCCACCATTGCCCTCTCCCCTCCCCCATGCACAAAATCTCCCCCTACAGGCCGTGAACCCCCCCACCTCGTGGGTCTCGGTGGCGAACTCGAAGTTGGGGCCCTCCACGATGGCGTCCACCGGACACGCCTCCTGGCACAGCCCGCAGTAGATGCACTTGGTCATGTCTATGTCGTACCTGCAGGGGGGGGGGGGAGGGAGGGAGGGTGAATGGGATGGGGGAAGGATGGGTTCGAACAAGGAGGTTTTGGGGGAGGGGAGGGGGGGGGGGGGGGGGGGGGGGGGGGGGTGGGAGCATCTGTGGATGCAGTTGCTCATGTCCGTGTCAAGCGTGCATGCATTGGCACGAGGAACGAGGAGGAGAGAGGGGCGAGATCGCAAAATTGAATGCACTTACACTCTGTATTGCATGAGTGCATGGTTGCTTGCATGGGTGCATGGTTGCATGAGTGCATGGTTGCTTGCATGGGTGCATGGTTGCATGAGTGCATGGTTGCTTGCATGGGTGCATGGTTGCATGAGTGCATGGTTGCTTGCATGGGTGCATGGTTGCATGAGTGCATGGTTGCTTGCATGGGTGCATGGTTGCATGAGTGCATGGTTGCTTGCATGGGTGCATGGTTGCATGAGTGCATGGTTGCTTGCATGGGTGCATGGTTGCATGAGTGCATGGTTGCTTGCATGGGTGCATGGGTGCATGGTTGCATGAGTGCATGGTTGCTTGCATGGGTGCATGGTTGCATGAGTGCATGGTTGCTTGCATGGGTGCATGGTTGCATGAGTGCATGGTTGCTTGCATGGGTGCATGGTTGCATGAGTGCATGGTTGCTTGCATGGGTGCATGGTTGCATGGGTGCATGGTTGCTTGCATGGGTGCATGCGTGCATGGTTGCTTGCATGGGTGCATGGTTGCATGAGTGCGTGGTTGCTTGCATGGGTGCATGGTTGCATGAGTGCATGGTTGCTTGCATGGGTGCATGGTTGCATGAGTGCATGGTTGCTTGCATGGGTGCATGGTTGCATGAGTGCATGGTTGCTTGCATGGGTGCATGGTTGCATGAGTGCATGGTTGCTTGCATGGGTGCATGGTTGCATGAGTGCATGGTTGCTTGCATGGGTGCATGGTTGCATGAGTGCATGGTAGCTTGCATGGGTGCATGGTTGCATGAGTGCATGGTTGCTTGCATGGGTGCATGGTTGCATGAGTGCATGGTTGCTTGCATGGGTGCATGGTTGCTTGCATGGGTGCATGGTTGCATGGGTGCATGGTTGCTTGCATGGGTGCATGGTTGCATGAGTGCATGGTTTCTTGCATGGGTACATGGTTGCATGAGTGCATGGTTGCTTGCATGGGTGCATGGTTGCATGAGTGCATGGTTGCTTGCATGGGTGCATGGTTGCATGAGTGCATGGTTGCTTGCATGGGTGCATGGTTGCATGAGTGCATGGTTGCTTGCATGGGTGCATGGTTGCATGAGTGCATGGTTGCTTGCATGGGTGCATGGGTGCATGGTTGCATGAGTGCATGGTTGCTTGCATGGGTGCATGGTTGCATGAGTGCATGGTTGCTTGCACGGGTGCATGGTTGCATGAGTGCATGGTTGCTTGCATGGGTGCATGGTTGCATGAGTGCATGGTTGCTTGCATGGGTGCATGGTTGCATGAGTGCATGGTTGCTTGCATGGGTGCATGGTTGCATGAGTGCATGGTTGCTTGCATGGGTGCATGGTTGCACGAGTGCATGGTTGCTTGCATGGGTGCATGGTTGCATGAGTGCATGGTTGCTTGCATGGGTGCATGGGTGCATGGTTGCATGAGTGCATGGTTGCTTGCATGGGTGCATGGTTGCATGAGTGCATGGTTGCTTGCATGGGTGCATGGGCGCATGGTTGCATGAGTGCATGGTTGCTTGCATGGGTGCATGGTTGCATGAGTGCATGGTTGCTTGCATGGGTGCATGGTTGCATGAGTGCATGGTTGCTTGCATGGGTGCATGGGTGCATGGTTGCATGAGTGCATGGTTGCTTGAATGGGTGCATGGTTGCATGAGTGCATGGTTGCTTGCATGGGTGCATGGTTGCATGAGTGCATGGTTGCTTGCATAAGTGCATGGTTGCATGAGTGCATGGTTGCTTGCATGGGTGCATGGGCGCATGGTTGCATGAGTGCATGGTTGCTTGCATGGGTGCATGGTTGCATGAGTGCATGGTTGCTTGCATGGGTGCATGGTTGCATGAGTGCATGGTTGCTTGCATGGGTGCATGGGTGCATGGTTGCATGAGTGCATGGTTGCTTGAATGGGTGCATGGTTGCATGAGTGCATGGTTGCTTGCATGGGTGCATGGTTGCATGAGTGCATGGTTGCTTGCATGGGTGCATGGTTGCATGAGTGCATGGTTGCTTGCATGGGTGCATGGGTGCATGGTTGCATGAGTGCATGGTTGCTTGCATGGGTGCATGGTTGCATGAGTGCATGGTTGCTTGCATGGGTGCAAGGTTGCATGAGTGCATGGTTGCTTGCATGGGTGCATGGTTGCATGGGTGCATGAGTGCATGGTTGCTTGCATGGGTGCATGGTTGCATGGGTGCATGGTTGCCATCCTCACCTCGTGGTTCGCCTGCTGCCATCCTCGCGGGCCTCTGCCTCAATCGTGATGGCCTGGGCAGGGCACACCTGGGGAACGAGCAGACATGGAGAGAGCACACGATGGAAAGAGGGGGGGATACGGAGGGAAAGAGAGGGAGGTAGGGAGGGAAAGAGAGGGAGATAGGGAGGGAAAGAGAGGAAGATACGGAGGGAAAGAGGGGAGATACGGAGGGAAAGAAAGAGGGAGATACGGAGGGAAAGAAAGAGGGAGATACGGAGGGAAAGAGAGGGAGATACGGAGGGAAAGAGAGGGAGATACGGAGGGAAAGAGAGAGGGAGAGGGAGGGAGGGTTGTCGCCAGTTCTTGTATTTTGGATTATCTATCCTTTGCTGTCGGTTCTTTTACGAGTGGACGTGGTGATAGGAAGGAGCAATAGAGAGGGAGATATGGAGAGGCTCTCCAAAGAAACGTGTCGCACTCAAATGTGTGGAGCGCCACGATTGCATGCGATACTGAAGAGCAAGGCGCGAGTTCGATTGACGACTCGGCGAAACGGGTAAAAAATTATGGTGGGTTCGCCAATTTTGTAAAATGTCGCGCCTCGACAAATTGGTGTTGGCGCGATGCGGCGAACGACCCTAACGACTCTGCGAAACGGGTTTGCATTTCCCCCCTTTCGTCAAATGTCAGACATGTCGCGCCTCGGCATGTTGCCGACTTGCGCGACTCGTCCCAAACATTGGCGGGACTGTCAAGACTTTGCAAGACATCCCCCATATAACCCCCGAAATTGTTATAATGTTGAAATTTATTGTACATTGTTCGGTTCTAAAATTTCGACCGAAAAAAACGACCGTATTTTTAATCGAAACATAAATGTAACAGATGACCGTACTAAACCGTTTTAAACCACCGTATAATACAAGACCGTATAATACGGTGAAATTTCAAAATTTCGGTCGTATTTTTGAACCTCCAGGAGAGCGACTGGGCGAGGCATTTTGTCAATCTTGACAGACGCCACACAAAAAGAAACTGTCTCATTTGTGAGAGAGAAGACAGGAAACAGAATGCGCGAGAAGACAAATAACAACGAATAAATGGGAGGAGAATGGCAGGAAAGCAGCAGCGCCACTCACAGCCTCGCATAGCTTGCAGGCGATGCAGCGGTCCTCTCATCAACCCCAACTCACGGCTTCACGGCTTCACACACAGCTTGCACCCACCCCCGTCCCCCCACACCGCTCCCTCCCCCTCCACTCACAGCCTCGCAGAGCTTGCAGGCAATGCAGCGCTCCTCCCCGGTGGGGTAGCGCCTCAAGGCGTGCTCGCCCCTGAAGCGCGGACTCAGAGGGCCCTTCTCAAACGGGTAGTTGATCTGCCATGCCCCGGGTGAAAGGGCGTGGCGAGACAGGGAGGAGATGCAGAAGAACGGGGAAGAAGGGGAGGAGAGGATTCTCTGAAACGGTTCCAGGGGCAGTAGAGATTTACAAGGAGCGCTGCTTGGTCTGAACGGCTAGTTGCTGTGCAGAAGAGTTGCTTTGAAGCAAGGCTCTCCCACGGCAGTTCCTGACAACAGTTGCCAGCAGCATTTACCAGTGGCAGGTTCATTTGAACAGAGAGACTTGACAACCACCACCCCCACGACACACATGTCAGAACAGGAGCTTAGAATCGATACATTAGTAAAGAGCTTAAAGCTCCTTGAGTACATCCGGAATGGGGAGGGAATCGGGGGCAATCCCAAGGGATTGGGGGGTAATCCCAAGGCAATCTCCAATTGGTGGGTTGGAGATTGCTTGGAGATCACATTTGGGTTTGGTTGGGATGTGGGTGTACACCCAACCAAACACAGAGTGCAAACTACACTAAACTAGGATATAAAAAGTACAAGTACAAAATTTGAGATTGAGGGCTAACACTAACAACACATGCACTCACGCATGTACTGACGCATGCACTCATTCATGCGGTCAACCACACAAGCATACTCACCAACTTACAGCAGCTGCGCTCTAACCAGGTCGCAGTGCGGCACGACACAGCATGGCATGGCATGGCACGGCAGGCGAGTCCCCCTTACAGTGAGCTTCTTATCGAAGAAGTACTTGAGCGTGAGGCCCATGCCGCGCACCAGCTCCGTCACCAGCAGCGTGTTCATGTTCCTCTCCAGCACTGCCACGGGCGGGGAGGAAGGGCGGGCACACGCACGGGTGGGACCACGTGCAAGGCAGGCGAGATTACCGTTTGGCAGGGCCAGGGGAATAGGAGCAGCAGCACTCGTCAGCAGCGCGCGTTCATGTTCGCTTCGAGCACACGCGTGGAGTGGGACGTGCAGGGAGGGAGGCCGGTGGGAAACAGAAACAGAGCAGGATTGATGGCCGTTGCAACAAACGAAATGCCTCGCATCTCATCATGGAGACTGTCGCCTGCAGCGGCTGGGTTTTCTGATGCGAGGCTGTGGGGGTGAGGGAAGGTGGAACGGCCAACAGCAGTGACTGGATTCTCACGCCTCGCGTGTCAGTACGTGAATACATGGGGCCTTTTGAATCGGTTCGATTACTGCAAGTCATTGACGCCAAGTCATTGGTATCGGTATCGGATGAGGAGACAGGCATCACAAGTGTCGGATACTTGGTATCGGATTCGATCAACTCGGATCACTCGGATGCACCTGTATTGAGGTCGGCAGGCGGCTCGGGCTTGGATGATGGCGGAGGGGCTTCCGTAGCTGATGCGCGGGAGCAGGTTCGGGAGAGGTTTGAAAAAGGTTCGGGGAGAGGCGGAGGGAGAAGAAAAATGAGGCGAGAGAGATGAGGCGAGTAAGATGAGAGAAGACACGAGGGAAATGCGGGGACGACAATCCAAGTAGGTTGACTAAGTGACCGTGATTGGTATGGACGAGTTGTGACAGCGACGTGGCCATGCGATGAGTTGTGGCAGCGACGTGGCCATGCCGGGGTAAACGTTATTTAACTCACGCCAACATGCCGGGGCTTCTAAAACATCACAGAGACATCGGACAGCGAAAGCCGTTGGTTCTCTGTTAAGCTAAAATGGTTTATTAATCGTATGGTTATCACGCGACGAGAAACAGGTCGTGGGGAACTCGATTATTCGCCAGATCACATCGCAGGACTGGCCTAATCGCCTCGCTATAATCAGTATCCGACGTGTAGTGTAGAAACATACAGGCGTAGAGGCGATTCGGGTAAACACAGCAGCGCTACGGCGTGCATGAAAAGCTTGAACTGAAAGTTCGATCCTATTCAAGTACGAATCGCGGACTATGCAAGAAAGCGATCTCAGAACGCACTGCTTTGCAGACTGTTTTGCGACGCCGCGAAGCCACGCGCGTAGACGGTGCTGACGGGGCATGACGTGAGCCGGCGAGCACCGCGAATAGCGGCGGGAAACATGGCGACGGAGACGGCGTGAAGCCAACGTTTTGATAGGCCGAACACGCGATGCCCACAATACCCAGACGATAGGCGGTAGTCTGTGGGAAAAACGTGTTACGACAATCAATGGCTGCCTCGTGGAACGGCAGTTACGGAGAGCAGTGTGTCTTGACTCGATAGTATAGGCAATGGAGTTGCAGTGGTGAAGAAATACCCACGCCTGGAGCATGGGGGAGACGGGGGTTCGATGCGGTTCAACTGGGTTAAGGAAATCGACTCAGCGTTTGGGACTGAGGCGCTGAAAAACATTGTCAGGTCAAAACATCGTCATTGTTATTGTAATGAATATAGCTATTCATTACTGAGTCTGCTCCTAGGGCGTACAGCCCCGAGCACTTTGTTACGAATAGTAATTATTGAAGCATCACTCTGCACTCCTTACCGCAGCAATCGAAGCACGCACTACCGAGAATGAAGACGAATGGACGGAAGTGACGCGAAGGGTCGTAAGGTTACGAAGGCATCTGGACCGTTGGGCAGACAGCAGCAGGCAGCAGCAGTGGCGAGGATTCTGCCCAGGCAGTTTGTAACCGTCTGGAGTTGCACGGTTGGGTTTCGCTACAATAAGGGAATGTACCCCTTAGAGTACATGGCTAGCTAGGTCGATTCGTATTTCCTCCCTGGACTCTTATTTATACCCTTGTACTTGCATGTTTTAATTCATCTCAAGCATTTTATATTCACTCTGCATTTGAGGTCAAGGGCCCACCACCACTACTCAGCTGTGTGCGAACCTTCCTGAGGTGATCCTAGGCACGATCAACTTCTGATCGCTACATGGTATGAGAGCGACTCAGGAATCCTTCGCACCGCCACCACCGAAATCTTCGGCGAACGGAAAGTGGAGTCCGGCACACGCTCACGCGTGAGAATGTGTGAAAGATAGAAAACGAGAATGATGAAACTAGCAGGAATGTGGGTACAAGTAGGAAACCCTAAATGTGTTGTACCACATATGGACTACCCCACTACAGCCTACACAGACTATAGCATAATAGTTTGACACACCCTCATAGGCAAAGTGGGGGAGAACAAGAGGTCACAAGACCAGTCAAGAAAAGCAAAGCAAGCTCAGGGTGGATCACAACGTCACCACGCATTCTTAGCACAAGCAAATGACCACAAGGCCAGTTCACATGCAGAGTTATATAAAGGAGAACAAGCAATACAGTGATCACAACCTAGCAAGTGTAAGCATGCAGGTATACGAAAATAGATCACAGTACAAGCAAAGTCAAGAAGTGAGCAAGTGAGGCCAAGTGGGCACAAGGCCTAGAACAGTACAGAAACGCTGATGATCACAAGGCTGAAGTGCCTTGGTGAAGATATCAGCAGTGTTGGCCCGAGTGGCCACGTAAGCAAGACGAAGCTGACCACGCTGCTGCAACTCTCGAGCAAGGAAGTAGCGCAGAGCGATGTGCTTCGTTCTGTGCTCCAGTCTGTGCTCCTGACACAAGGCAATCATGGCCTTGTTGTCGACGTACAGAACTGGAGGAGAACGAGGCGGCTCTCCCAGGTCGGTCAGCAGATAGGTGAGCCAGCGTAACTCCTGTGCAGCCATGGCCCCTGCGTAGATCTCAGCCTCACAACTGGAGCTGAGAACAGAAGACGAGCGGGTAGACCGCCACGAAACAGAGCCGGAGCCAAGGCTGAAATTGTAACCCTGTGACGACCGCTGCGTAGCCAAGTCGTCAGCCCAAGAAGCGTCTGCGTGACCAGTGAGGACAACTCGAGCCCGTCCTCCAAGCACGAGCCCCATACCCGACGTACTGCACAAGTAGCGCAACACCCTCTTAGCGGCATCCATGTGCTCCTTCCGGTGTCTCCCAGGAGCAACATAGCGTGCCAGAATGCTAAGAGGGTAGGCAAGGTCAGGTCGAGTGCAGGTCATCAGGTACATGAGGCAGCCCACAAGCTCTGGGTACGGACCACTCGGCTCTACGGACTCGTCCGAAGGTGGAGCTGAGAGCGAGTGGCGAGTAGGCAGAGGAGTGGGCTGTGGCGAGGAGTACGTGAAGCGGAAGCGCTGAAGGACCTGCTGCACCATGTGTGACTGAGTCAAGGTAATGGTGCGCTGTGCTCTGTCCCGGGTGATCGGCAAGCCAAGATAGCTGCGCAGCTCACCCATGTCTGTGCACGTGTGTCTCTTCTGCAGCTCCGACTTCACGTGGGCGAGTCCCTCAGTGTCAGCAGTAGCAAAGACCAAGTCATCGACGTACACGAGGACGTAGAACGGCGGCAGAGAGGTGTCGGTGCGTAGAAACAACGACGGGTCAGCAGTGGAAGGAGCAAACCCAAGAGCCGCAAGTGTCGTCCTCAGTGTGTTGTGCCACTCACGGGGCGCCTGGCGGAGACCGTAGACTGGCCGCCGGAGGCTCCACTGGGTACCAGCAGGAAACGACCCAGTGAAGCCAGGTAAGCGGCGCAGCCAGATCTCCTCGCGCAGACTGCCCTGTAGGAAGGCTGTGCTGAAGTCAAGAGAGTGAAGCTCGTAGTCACGCTGAGCAGCGACGTGCAGCAGTACCCGAAGAGTGGTCATCTTTGGGGTAGGGGAGAAGGTATGGAAGAAGTCAACTCCCTCTCGCTGACTGAAGCCTCGTGCAACGTAACGCGCCTTGAAGACAGGCGGAGAACCCGGCGGCCGCTTCACCCTGAAAATCCACATGCCACTGACGATGTTCGCCCCAGGTGGGGGAACCTCGTCGACCTAGGTGCCTGTGGACTTCCAGGAAGCCATCTCTGCGTCCATGGCTGTCTGTCCAAAGGGAAGCCAAGAAAGACACAGGCACGAGTGCACGGAGACAACTTGTTCGCGCCAGGGGCGCGAACGTGAGCCAGACAACCCCAGACGCGGAAGTCAGCTGCTACGCCCGGTAAATCTGACCAGAGGGAGACCGGCGTCACCCGTGACCGTGTGTCACTGGGCCACAGGTTCAGCTGGTGCGCGGCATAGCGGACTGCCTGAGGCCACCAGAACTGAGGGGCACCGGCATGGCACATGGAGGTCCGGGCAACCTCCATGACCAGGCCGATGCGTCGCTCGGCTACCCCGTTCTGCTGCGGCGAGGCTGGTAGCGTGTAAGACTGAATGACTCCTTGACCCTGACAGAACGTCTCTAGGCGAGTGGAAGAAAACTCACCACCACGGTCCGAGTGTAGGCGAAGCCCACACAGGCCTTGGGCGCCACCCCACGCCAGTAGCCACGGCTCGAGGACGGTAGGCACGTCGGCCTTCCGTCGCAAGGGGAAAACCGTGGTGTAGCGGGAGTAGTCGTCCACCACAATCAGGAAGTAGCGCTCCTGACGTGGGCCAAGGACAGGGGAGGGGCCCCAAACGTCCAAGTGCAGGGTCTGGAAGGGAGCCGTGGTGGGGGGGAACGAGGAGGAGTGAGGGGCGGCGCGCTGCCGACCCTCGACGCAGGGAGTGCACGGCGGCGCAGGCGAGCGAGGAAGCGGGGCAAGCGATGCTGGGAGACCTGAGACCAGACGGTGACGTACCATCCTACTGAGACGTGGGAACAACGGGTGACCTAAACGGTGGTGCCAGAGGACCGACGGGTGGCTGAGTGACCGACAGTCGCACGACAGCAGCTACCTGACCTGACCTGACCTGACCTGACCGGACCTGACTCAGTGTGGAGGGACCCAGTGTGTAGTGAGTACAGACCAGAGCCCGGCTCTCTGTGGAAAGTGGCCAGAGGCGCCCCAGTGGCACCGACCGTGCAGGAGGCAACAGGCTCGTCTAGTGGAAAAGTAGTGACTACACCTAGGTCGTGGAGGTGACTGACACCGACGAGGTTCCTAGAGAACGAGGGGGTGTAGTAACCTGTGAGGAACCCAGAGGGAGCCGCCGGACACGGGAGAGTGGTGGTGCTGTGGGCAACTACAGGTCCCACGCTAGGGTCAGCCAAGGCGACAGTGACTGAAGTGCGCAGTGGTGTGAGGTCAGTACGGTCGCGAAAGAAACAGCTAGACGCTCCAGAGTCTAGGGTGAAGGAAAGCTGTGCAGTCTGTGAGGTCGCACCCGAGTCATCGACAAAGGCTGGTGCTAGACTAGTGGTAGCTGCAGCTCCTACACAAAGACCCTCAGAGACGGCTGGGCTGGAAACAACACACGCACCAAGACTGGAAACACAGGTCTCTACTCGTGCAGCCGGGAACGGTCCTAGACCAGGTAGGTGAGACTCAACTGGTGCAGCAGTGCGCTGGCGAAGACGTGAGGGCCAGTGCGGTGTAATAGCGTGAAGACCAAACCGCTCACGGTGGAGGTCGTCGAGGCGACGGTAGCAGTGGGACGCAGAGTGGTCAGGACTCCAGCAAGTAGTGCCAGCACTAGGGCCTGTCAGGGCCCGGTACCCGCAGGGGCCGACGTCTCGCCCACTGCTAGCCGAGCCACTGCTGGGGCCGCCACACTTTGGACCTGCAGGTCCCCACTGCCGGGAGTGCTGCTGCTGGCCCTGCTGCTGGAGAACCCTAGTACACGCCATGTGAGGAGCTAGAAATGGAGGGGGGGTGCGTACAGGTGGGCCTAAGCTACTGCTGATGCTGCTGGGGGGCAGTCTAAGCTGCTGCTGGTTCTGCTGGGGGGCAGCCTAAGCTGCTACTGGTTTTGCTGGTGGCAGCCTAAGCTGCTGCTGGTTTTACTGGGGGTAGCCTCAGCTGCAACTGGTACTGCTGGTGGCAGCCTAAGCGTCTGCTGGTTCTGCTGGTGGCAGCCTAAACTGCTGCTGGTTTAACTGGGGGCAGACTAAGCTGCTACTGGTTCTGCTGGTGGCAGCCTAAGCTGCTGCTGGTTCTGCTGGTGGCAGCCTACGCTGCTGCTGGTTCTGCTGGTGGCAGCCTACGCTGCTGCTGGGTTTACAGGGGGAGGGGGGGGCAGCCTAAGCTGCTGCTGGTTCTGCTGGTGGCAGCCTTAGCTGCTGCTGATTCTGCTGGTGGCAGCCAATGCTGCAGCTGGT